GTGGGAGGGAAACCCACATTGCATGTAATAGTATCTGAGCTCCTAGTATGATTCTGTGAATGATAGAGGGCAATTGTACAATAATTGCCTCATCTGGAAGCGTGGCTAGTCATATTTGTCATGATGTAGTTATACTGTCCTTATTGTGTAATATCTTCCTGTTGCAAACATTGTACTCTGGGTGCATGCTTTTTTTAATAATGAAGCCATACTGATTTCTGTAATAGCTACATTATTACTACTGAAATGATATGCATTAAAAAAGAACAATTTTTCCACTCACCCCTCTTTCAGAAGAAATTTCCTTGCAAAGCTATTTCGAACATCAGTCAGGAAATAGATGAGCATAATAATGTCTTACTGTGCTGAAGTCTTTTTATTGCAAGCTCAACTAGCAATAGTATCCTGCCTGGGTTGGAACAACACAAAGGGGAATTAAGGCGATTCTTCTGAAGACCATTGGTATTCATTTGTCTTTTCCTAGCCTTTTTTTTTTTTAGAAATAATGGATGGAGAATTCCAGACTGAGTTCAAAGCTAAAGAGAGTAATATAGCTATCAGAGAATATTCCCACATGTGTCATATCAAACTGTCTAGATGCTTAGAAAAACTTTTATTAAAAGTATTACAGAGTTTAAATATAATAACAAAGGAAAGATGAGGCCACTGGGTGAAAATAATGGAGCATGTATAGTGCTTTAACAGAGCTTTATCTCCAAGATGGGCTTTTAAAATTCTAGAGTGCCTTTCCAGAACACCATCCTAAGCTGCAGTGGTTGAAGAGCACTAGTAAGCTGATACTATGTTTTATTAAATAACTAGGTTTGGCCACTTCTCTCAACCCTGTTGATTCATATGTCAATTTCTGTAATAATTGTGCATCCCATGTATCTGGGATCTCTAATAATTGTGCCTGTGGATACCTCTCTTAATGTCCAGCCATTCCTACAATGACAGTCATTTTATGAATGAGCAAACCTCTGGCAGCCATTTTGTAAGACTGACCAAATTTTTCCACTGCCCTAAAAAGATGGGGGACTTAGGGATATGCTGGACAGTCCTGCACAAACCCTATGGGGGCTGCCCTCCTGATGAAAATGATCAGACCTTTATGAAGAAAATCCTCATGCTCTTCAGGAAATAATGTCAACAGCACAGCTCAGGATTAGGCTTATCTCATGAAATCCCTATCCTAGAATCTTGTCACATATTTGCATTCCCCTTATATGTGCCATAAGTTCCATGAGTTGCTCGTTTTTTAAAAGCACATGGAGATTTACATACAGGGCCACATGTTCATGGACAAATAGCTGCTTATGCTGAATCAGGGCCCAGCCTGACAGCTGGCTCTGTTGAATTCTGCTTCTTTCTAAAAAACTGTGGTGGAAATGAAGAATTTAGTTTGGCAATTCCCTCTAACCTGTCCATTGATTTCAAGGGGATGTAAATGCATTATCAGTGTACTCCATATTGAGTGCCCTGCTTTTACTAGCATTCCGAGAAGCAATGGAAACTGCAGCGATGATCCAGTTAAACAGACCTTTTGAGTGTGTACATGCAAAGCAGGGCTGGGCTAACGAGAATCAAGATGTGACCGGTCCCAGCAAGGGGAACTGACAAGCAGGAAGGCAGGGAAGAGCTGAAAGCAGCTGAAGAGGGGGGTGTTTTTACTTTGGGGGTGCATATACTTACAGTGGTCATGGGAAACAACTTAAAAAAAAAAATGTGTTTGCTAGCTAGCAATAAAAGACCTGCAGCGAATGAGGAGGATATAGGGATCCTTGGATAAATAGCAGAGGTGGAGCGTTGCTCTTGAGCAACAGTGAAAGTACACACACACACCCGCAAAAAAAAAAAGCCGGCGAATGCATTTCCCCATTCACAAGGACCCGTTTCTCTTTGGCAAACTGATGCTGAGGCCGGGTGTTTCTCTTGGTAGCTGGCAAGTCTGGGTAGCTTGGTAGCTGGCAAGCTGGAAGGGAACTAATGCCAGGACCGAGGAAATGAGGGCTTGTGTTGCAAAGGCACCTGGGATACATATTGAAGCCAGTGGGACGAGTAAGTGAGTGGGGGGGATCCAGCGGGCTTTTCAGCAAACAATAAGCCATGTGGGCTGATTCACAGGGTGGCTCCACATCTTGTGCGAACCCACCCAGTGTTCATGGGAGCAGGGTCCTTTCCTGCTTCTCACCCTATTGGACCAGTACTTAGGCTGGCTGGGTTCTAGTCTGCATGTTGCCATGAAGCTTATCAGGCAACTTTGAGCCAGCCATAGACTTCCACCCTAACCTACCTCACAGGGTTGTTTTTGTAGAGATAAATTGGAGGGGAAGAGATCTCTTGTAAACTGCCTTGCGTTCCTTGCAAGAGGAGGAATGATGGTGTATAAATGTAACAATGATAATGATAAATAATGACTATACAAATCATACTGAATCAGGTCGTTCTGAGTTGAGTTGCTCAGAATCTACCAAGGCTTAAGGATGTAGTCTCTGATGGCACTTGCTTAATATGCAGCCATATTCTAAGATCTAACTGTCATGATTTAGTTTGCTTTCAATTGCACAGTCCAGAAAACTGCAGAGAATAATGTCCCTCTGCGATCACTGCAGAAGTGAAAAAGCAAGCTCAGTGTAAGGAACACAAAACTTTTCTTAGACTCCTACCTCAGAGGGCATTTCTTTTGTGTTACAACTGCTTCCTGACAGAGATTTTCTCTTTGTGTATCATCCAGCATCGAGCAGCCAACTATAAATTTAGCAGACAGATGCACCTTTCCCCTCAAGTATTTTGTATCTGCCTGCCTCACTTCTTTTGTTGCTATTTCCATTTGACTTTTGACTTATATTGCCTCCAGAAAACTGAACTGGGTGAGTCTAAGGAGCCTGCACTTTTGGCAACATTCATGATATTCTGTGAAATGTTGCTGGTAACGTTTTTAAGTTCCAGCCATCCCCACTAACACCTCAGAAGCTGCTGTCTGTAAGTCAAAAAGCAGAAGTCAATAAATGCTTACACTGGATGCAAGTTTCCAGCATTTGATTAGAAAATCTTTACTCTTTGATTTTTCTGCAGCTTCTCTAGATACTTGCTTTCAACCATATATTTTGCAATGTATAGTCCTTGAATGGCTAAGCAATCAGTCCCCCTCCAACACGCTTCCTGTTGAAATGTATCGATTCCCTCTTTAGCTATGCTGAACTAATTTAAGAAAAAGGTGGATATGGCTTCTGAGAAATGGCTTTCTCTCGGAGATGATACAAAGATCTTATGTAACATTGTTCCAGCAGCTCGCATGAGACACTAGGTTGAAAAAGTCAATTCATGTCAATTGTGTTGTATTCAACAAGTATTAAATTCCTTTTCTGAAAGCATTTTGCCTGCAGAGATTTTTTCAAGTGATGCTTTTAGGAGGGCATCAAGGTCTGAGTTGGTTCTCATGTAATGACAACTCATGTCATGTTTGTTGCTTATCCGGAGTTTACCCATGATTTGTCTGCCAGACAACTGTGCAACATGCATGTTACTTTTCCATTCCTGGGTCATTTAAGTTCCTTCTCCTTTGCTCATCCCCTCCCTGTACCCCATATGCTTTTGTGGCACTGCAGCGGTAACACTGTCGCCCAATGTCTCTGAGTCCTATTGAAGTAATGCTTGGTTCTGGGTTCCCATCTAATGACAACCACTCATACTCAGCCCATACTCTGGCTTGTCATTATATATGAACCAGGTCCTAACAGAACACAAAATGGAGCAAAGCCTACTCTGCCAATATGGCCAGTATAATTCAATGCAACTCTTCCTTCATCTATCCATGGAAATGTATTCTCAGTAGTTCACACAGCATGTCCTTCTGTTGCAATTTTCAGACATGTCTGTACGCTACGTATCTCTGCAGAGACTGACACTATTTCCCTCCAGAAATAGCTGTTCAAAGTGTGCATATAAGATCTAGAAGTGTGAGAAATAAATTCATAAGCAAGCTGATAATGATATAAAGGAGGATGAATTGATCAGCCCTGCATTGATATGGTCACTGTGGTGATGACCAAGTAAACATCCTACCAGAAATTGGTGCTGTATATGATGGTACTGACATGCCATCTTTTCACTTCCAAGCGTGCTGCAGTGTGAATCTAAGAAAAATATTTTCCTGGAAGAAACTTCACTTTTGGCCAGCAGTAAACTGCTATAAATGTGGTAATGCACAGTAAGAAGCATAAAAAGGGTAAACTGAACTGCACATAGACGCCTTCAAGAAATGCAGCTAGTTATAGCTACAGTGATTCTCCCCCATACAGTGATGTTTCAAATAGGTTTCTAATACCAGAGGTCAGAGCTGACAGCTTCAAGATTTCCCAGAACTCTAACTCTCAGCAAATGTGCAAGCAGCTTTCCCCGGTTATTCCAGCAGCCAAATTCTGCCTCACCAGTTCCAGGACCCAAATCACCTTTCATGAGGAATCAAGTGATTAGTTCCTCTGGCTTTATGTAGGAACAGGGTTTGCAAAATTATTGTGCAGGTTATTAAGGACCTTCCCCTGCATTACCACAAATCAAAGCTTACTATTAATCTGGCTAATTTGTGAGAGTGCGTGCGTGGGGGTGGGGGTTGGCTTTATGCCACTGAAGGGAAATTACAGCAGATGAGTTTAAATAAATGCCTTTACACTCCTACAATTACTTTATTATTTTTACTCTTATTTTGGCTTCCCCTGTGTGAATCTAGTGCACACTATGGTTCTGAATCAAGGGTAAGTAACATGTGATCCTGTTGGCCTGCAACTCCCATCATCCCTAGCCAGCACAGCCAATGGTGAGGCACCATGGGAGCTGCAGTCCAGCAGCTGGGGTGTCCAAAGTTGCCCTCTTCTGTTGTAAATAAGCACTTCTAGATTCCTGCCTGTGTGCTACTTAATGTTATTCATTGGCTACAAGATGGGAAGGCTATAGCTCTTCTGAATTCAAGAAACAAGTTCCCTTTTCATTTTGTTTTACAGCTTCCATGAAGACTGGGTTGGAGACATCTCAGAAACTGGCTTTTGTGGTGGAAATGATATGCAATGCAAATTAAGCAAAGCCAGCAGTGCACTTGGTAAACAAGCAGTACCGGGACCTCACAGTACTATACATACCATCAGTACAATACACATTGTAGAGGTTTATGGACATGACAATCCTATGCATGGCAAACTGGATACTCATTTACCTGGATAAGCAACCTCAAAACACAGTTAAGGATTTGCTGGACCAAAGCAAAATGTGAATACAGAAACTTGCTGCACGTGCCTTAAAGACTGCATAGAAATAAAAGGACTTGGTTGTTATATGTATCTGTTATAGTGCATATCAGAGTATATCTACAAATTTAACAGATCTATTTAAAATATTTGAAAATGAATTCCTGTTTGACTCAAATAAAGCAATGCATCCTTATACTTAAAAGTAAACTGCCATTTCCAGGAATTGCTTAAAATGAATTAAAAAGTAATATTTGGAAAACAATGATTCTGGTATGTTTTTGCATATCAGTTCTTAACTGTTTGTATTTTTGCTGTGTGTGAAGTACAGCAAAACAATAAGGACAAATGCACATGACTGCAAAGTTATTTTATCCTCTGTTTTTATAAGCATATAAGAAATAAATAAAATGTATTTTTGCACGATAGTATGTGGAAATTGCAATAAAGGTTTTCTCTAAAGTAGGCAAATTTTTAAATGCACACGTGGCTTCATTGTTTTGAATATAAGGCAATTTTCCATTTTCTATAACTCAGTAAACCCTTTAAGGGTGTATTTATTTATTTAGAAGACCTGTTTGCTGCCTTTTCATTAATATGATTGCCCAGGATGGCGCATATAAAAATAAACACAGTTTAAAAGTAACAGTAAATCAAACATAAACAATGATGTTGCAGTGAAAAAGCTTCAACATGACTGCAGATAAAACAAGCTATCCATAAAATAAAGCAGCTTTCAAAGATGCTTTAAAGATATTAAAGCACACACATGTGGGGAAGCTATTCTAAGACCAAGGTGCTACAACAGAAAAGGCCCTTTGGGCTATGGAGCAGCACACAAATGCAACAAATAAATAACTAAAGTAACCTCTGATTTAATATCTGAGCATGAGGGTGCCTGGAGTATTAGCCAGAGTACTGAGGCTTTTGCACTAGGACAGTATATAAGTATCACAAATAAATAAATATTTAATATAGAGTATATCAGTAATGCTTGCAACATTCCTGTAAGTTTATTATCATCATCTTACAGATGGGGGAGGTGGAAAAGGTGGAGATAAGGAAGGACTAAAAGAACAGCTTGCCCAAGGCTATCTACTGTATTTACAGACAAAGTGGGGTAAGACAAGCTGGTGCTTTCCAGATATTTTGGACTACAACTCCCACAATCCCGTTTGTTGGAGTCTGTAAGACCCCAGGTTGCCTGCCCCTTTGGACAGTAACCTCCTGGTTTATGAATTAGCCTTGCAGCCACTAACCCATGCCAGGTTTCGCCATGTAGCAGATGGGGAAAGCTGAGATTAAGGAAAAGGCCGGGGTCTGACCAGATAGAGGTGAGTCCAGAGGAGAGGCAAATACGGGGAGGCTCATGATGGGCTTTACTCAACAAATGGTCATTCAGAAGGACAGACACAGAGGGGGAATGCACCATTGTTTCACTTACTTACCTGTTTAATTTCTGTAAGGGCCCAAGAGCTGAAGCCCAGGAGCACAGCTTTCTCTGTCTACTAACTGGTGGTTTCTTGACTTCTCTACAGTTGCTATCAGTTCTAAAAGCCTGAAAGACTGAAAGCCCTTTGAAGGCTTATTGGCAGGAACAATGTGAAGCTAAAATAATTTTCAGCATTTTTGGCCCTGTCCTTATCCCTTCAAAAGTTTGAACACTCCTATTGTAAACGAAAAATCCAAAATGGAAATAACCTATCAGGCTGAACAAATACAGATGCTGTAGTTACCCAGGAAATGATGATGAGGATGAAGAAGAAGAAGCAGCAGCAGCACAGCAGCAGAAGAGGCAGGAAGATTTACAGAGCTGACTTTAGTAGAATATTGTAATTTATTTAAGCAATCTGCTCATATAAACTGTGGAGTTACAACTGTATAAAGAAATTGCATTCACATGATTTGGTGATGCTTGTGCATCACCCGCAAATTTCTTTTGTTTAGGATAAGTAGACCCCCTGGAGCTTTTTTTATTGTTCATGTAAAAATTATGTATCATCAGAAAAAAGCAGTTGCGAAAGGTGAACGTAGTTCAGACGATTAAGCACACACATAAAAGACCAGGCTTATAACATTGACCTCTTCTGGTGTTTAGCGGCTAATGAGCTGGGACTCGGAGAGCCTGTGGCTCCACTGCTGATGCTGCAGCACGACACAGCACACCGCCGTGGGCCAAAGGTGCCTCGAGCAAGCCCCCCATTTCCGAACTCCCACTGCATGAGCTGCACAGAATTGGGTTGGCTTCCAGTAGGCCCTAGTGGGTACACCTTGTGGCAGTACGGCAGAGACAGAGTGAACACTCATGCAATCATTACTGGCCACTTGTTCCCAGTTTGCAGGGAAACCTGAGCTCTATAAAGCCTACCTTTAGGACCACTGCAAAACAATCAAGCCAGGCAATCCGGGCATCTTGCTCGCTGATCGATACAGAGCCCTGTCCCTGCCTCCCAGTATGTCACTGCCAGTGCGGCCATGACTGTGTCTCCTGGGCTGCGGGACTTACCTGCCTGACCTGATCCTTTGGCCCATTTGTACACGACGGGGCCCCGACTTCGACCCAGATCACCAGTGTTGTCCCTAGATTTGGACTCTGTGGCAAGGTTGTAGGGTTACTCCAGGTTACTGAGGCTCCTTGGGCAAAACACCCCAGTGGCCCACCTCCCTGGCAGTGTCTCTCTTCCTTCTTTATTACCTTCCACAGGTGGCTTGCCCTCCAACTGCTCTTGCTCCTCTCCCTCCCTCTGCCCTGCTCCACTTGCTGCTTGGCAGACAGCGCCAGTGAGCATAAAGGCCAGGCAGTGGCTGCTCCTCTTCCTCCTCACCACCACGATGTCTGGGCCAGAACAAGGAGCAGGGGGCCAGGATGAAAGATCCCAGGGCTCCCGTCAGTGTGCTCCTACTGCAGTGCAGGCCCTTGCTGGTGCCCCGTCATGCATACCTCCGAGGCTGGCCCAGCAAGGTTGGCCCTAAGCATGATATCCATTTACTGGACAGTTCTCGGCATGCCTGTAGTTGTCACGTACCATCAAGTCGTCTCCCACCCTATGAATGAAAGCCCTCCAAAGTGTCCCACCCAGACAGCTACATTCAGCCCTTCCATGTTCGAGGCTTCATGGAGCCAATCCATCCCCGGGAAGGGAGTGCCATTGCAGGAGGCAGCATCCAGGGACCCCTCAGCTGGCCTTGCCAGCGCTTGGATTGCTTTGCCAATCTGTTACATGGCTTCCAGCTGGTTAATAAGTTAACCTATTTATAGTTGCGTGTGGGTAAAACAACATTTCTGAAGCAAGATGCGTATTTTTTTTTCCAGACGATCCCCACACTTGTGTTCGGCATTCCTTTTTCATGAGGTACAAGGGAGATTTTTGAATTAGTGTTTTTCATCTGCAGCTTGAATAAGTACTGTACTTGAATTAAACCTATTTTTAAGGTTCTGGAGCCAGGGCACATTTTTAGATAATAATTTAAAAAATTAAATTGAGCAATTCAAACAAAGAGTGATATTAAATTCTACAGCACCAGTATTGCCATGAATAGAGCTATGCCATGGAAATATTTTAAAACACTTCCAGTTTATAATAATTAAAATGCTCCTGTCTGTCTATGCCACAGTGCCAATTCGGTGAATCCTAGATGCCCGAAGCTTGGCACCAAGGGGGTGCTGGTGGAGTCACTTCAGGGTTATTTGGTTTTCAAACCACATTGTTTTAAATTAATTTAAAGGTGTTCATGTTTGAAGCCTGCAATGACATCTTCAGTCATGAGCTGGCAGGTTTATCTAGCCAACTTTTCAGCTGGAAATGAGATCCAACAGCCAGAGTTATAGTATAGCTTGCTGCCCACTCTGGAGGAGTGGGCGGTCTTTGAGAGGACGGACTGCACAATTCCCTTCTTCAAGGGATGACAGTGAGCGCCACTGTATCGAATTACAGCTATGGCAACATGTGCATGTGTGTACGTGTGTGAGACCTTCACATGCAGTGGAGCCAAGAGTTAATAGCATGGTACTATCAGCCAGTACATCCATTTTAAGAATGTATGCAGTGCTGGAACAAATGTTGGTACAGACTCAGAAAGTTCAAGAGAAATTATTTTATTTTCATACATGCTTGAGCGCTTTCTTAAAGTGTTTAAAAACTGCAGACATCTCACCGCTTGGGAATGAAAGGACAAATAAATACCATCAGGTGACATTGACTTTCCCTCCCAGTGTAAACAAAGCTGGCATTTGCTTGTGTTTCAAGGGCACAATGAAGACCTCTGCTGGCCAAAGCCTTAAGGTGGCTTGGGGATTTTACTTTCAGTTTTTCACAGGCTCGTCACTAAACTTCCGTCCCTGACAGCAACTTGTGGGACAGTTTTCCAACTTGCCAGATTTCATGGGAGTCTCTCAGCTGTAGCAGGAAATGCTGGCAAATCTGTGGACAATGCTGTTCCAAAAATGTAAGTAGAATATTCTTTTCCTGAAGGAAGTGTTCACAAATGAGCTTCTGAAAAGAGATTTTTTTAAAAAAAGAGGCAACAACTGAAGCATTGCTTAAGGAACGAGGGAGGCTGTAAATGGCTTTGGAGAGAGTTGCTGCAAGTCTGATTCACTCCAAGACCTCGGTTTGGAAATAGGCTTTGCATACTTGTTGCTGGGGAATTGTATTCTGTTTAGCACCTTTAACAAAGAGATCAGTTCATATTGCAAGGAAGATCGACTAGTGACTCCTTTTAATAGAAAATATCCCATTTGGGGATGTATCCTTCAGTGTAAAGCTTTCCCCTTTTAGTTTCTAGATTTGGCATATAATGATTGAGTATTTAAACAACCTGAAATGAAGCAATGAACTTTTTTTTTCTAATAATGTTAAATTTGCCAATTAAAAATACTTCTCCCAGAATTGATTCTGTGGCTGATACCACAGAGTGGGCGGATAGAAGAACCGTTAAGGATTATTTAGATGGATGTGTGTGAAAGTAAAAACAGTGAAGAGAACCAGAGCTCTGGGGAAAAGTACAAAGGGATTTGAGCAACACTTCTCTTTAGATAGGACAATCTTTATGGGTGTGTTCCTATAATCTAAACTATGGAGGCTGCTTCGGAGGTTGCTAGTTCATGGTCAGTGTTTCCAATGAACAACCATATTGTAGATCTGTTTGCTGGGATGAGAATCATATGATTAGTTTGCCACAAATTCTTGCTTGCTGCTATAATAATTTTCCACATTTTCTTGTGAACTATGTCTCCTGAGCCTTTGCAGTTTCTTGCATCTAGGCTAGAGCTGTTTTGCCAACACACTGGGTGGTAAAATGAGAGAGCAGCTATACTATTCCAGATGAATGCACCACGCATCTTCCCATCTCTTCCACTGCTTTCCCACATCTGCACTGATTTATGCCCACATAACTAATATTAACAACACAGCACGGAGGCTGCGGAAGGCCCTGCCACGCCGCTCTGAGAATGTCTGTGAAATGTGAGAACAACAGAAGTCTATTTGCTCACAGAGCTGTGGGCTGGGAAATATCTTACATAATTGTCAAACTGACATTTGAATTTAGAACAGCATTCTATTCAGTCTGAGATATTAAGAAGACATGGTTCACACGGCCGTTCCTCTCAAGGCTGAAGAATGAAATGCTGGGTACCTAAGGATCTTGGCCTTGCCTGTAATTCAGCTGTTTTCTCAGGATATGTGATGATGGAAGCAAGGTCAACTATCCATGAGGCAGATAAGGTATTAAGCACAAAAAGTATTGTTTACTGTGGATGAAATTCAATCCATATATTCAAACTGGCCACCAATTTGGATTTGGACCAATTTGGACAGATTCATAAGGGAGGGGGCTCTCAGTGGCTACTAGCCTTGCTGGCTAAGTGCCTCCTCCTTGACCAGGGGTGGCTTGCCATACACCCTAGACCCCGCTTAGCCATGAAGCTTCCTGGTTGGCTCTGAGACAGTCACTCACTCTCAGCCTATCCTTCCTCACCATGCTGTTGTTGCTATGAGGATAACATGGAGCTATGGAAGCCACACTGGATTCCACACAAGAGGGAAAAGGGGAGGATATAAATGCAACGTAATCATCACTATCAGATCAGAAATGTACTTATTTCTACATGTCACTGGTTCCCATAGAGTTTCTTTGAAACAAGTGTGCACAGGATTACAGACTCAAAGCTTAGGTAAGGCAGTAGTTGTTTCAGACTACAAAAACACTTTCAAAACTACTGTTAATATGTATTATATTTCCTAGCTGCACACAGATAGATGAGTTCATGTTTCTAATTGCACTATTCAACTAACGAGCGCATGTAAATAATAAAATACACATGCAAACTAGGACAAAATGTAGAAAATAGTATTTGAGACACTTAAAAAATGTTAAAAATAAATTGCTATTAGGAATTGCAGAATTATGGCAATTAATTTTATAAGTCTAAATTCATATTCACAGTTCAAACTAAACAGACAATTAAGTTTGCCACCAACTTTTATTCATAGTCCTGAAATAGAATTATGGAGTACAATATCTCACTTCATAGGAACAATTAAGGGAATTGGAAATGCTAACAGGAACAATCTCAAATGAAAGAACACATCCAAAACCTTCAAATTAATGAATTTGCAAATGTAACCCTTTACAGCTTGAACAATGACTTCTGCAAATCTGTTTTGCTATACAAACCTAAACATTATCTACTCAGAAGTAAGTTCCTTAAGTTCAGTCAGATGTACTCCCAGTGTTTTGAGTCTTTTAGGATGGAGAAAAAACTGCACAAAGGTTAGAAAACCACCAGCCTGGAAAAGACGGGTGGTGTTGGTGAACGGGACATGACCTTCCCAAGAATCCCAGAGGTCCAGCATTGGCCTAGGCCCTGAGCCTCTGCCATATAGTATGGCACTGCACTGCCATTCTAAGTACCACAGGAGGCTGATGGTTCAAGGTCAGTGAAGTGGCACATCCGCGCTGGGTTTCAGTCTAAGGAGCTATCGGTGGTGCTGAACCCTTTCCCCCAACCAGGTTCAGCACTGCAGACAGTTCCTCTTGAGTTCGGCCTTGGTGTCAGCAGCCACAGCTGCTAAGGTATCCTCTACACTGTTAACAACCTATGTAACAATCACATGCTAGGTGTCAGTGAACAGAATGCAACAGTAAGTAATTATTCATCCAGATAGCTAGCATATAGCTATTTGGGAAGGAGAAAACCTGGGAGAACCTGGCAAGTAGGAAATGGAGTAGGATCCAATTTTCAGACCACGGCTTCTCTGTGACATAGTACATTATTCACCAAGAAAGTGTGAACCAACTGATGCCAAATCCAGACTATAATAAGAGATGGGTGGAATCAACTTTGCTCCCAGCCTTCAAAACAGGCTTGGTAGACAGTATCACTGTTGTAGTGCAACAGGAATGCCAAAACAGGTTTAGAGTGTGGAATGGTGTGTGTGTGGGGGGGGGGGGGGGAGCTGAACAAAACGTTTCCCAATCCTAATAATACAAAAGGGCTATCTAGAGCAGGCCCCCAATACGACTATTAAGTCCAGGGTCTCAAATTACCTCGCTGTGCCACTGCATGAAGCTGTAGGTGTTGGCATTTCGAATCCAACCGCTTGTGAGGAGAGGAGAATTTGGACACGCTCGTTTCTGTTCAGACTGGGCAAGAGAGAAATATCCCGCGCGAAACAAAGTGCAAATTCGGAGCGACTTCGGGACGGCTCCCTCTTCTGGCAGGCTTGCGCAAGAGGCGTGCAGAGGCGAGGCCCGCCTGTAACTTGACCCGCGTAGCTCAGGGCCGCCTGCCCGCCGGCGAAGGAGCGGCGAAGGCCCACCGGCACTCGCAGGGGCGGGACTGGCCGCTGCGGCGCAACGCAAGGAAGTTTCCAAGCGCCGCCCGAGGCTGGGGTTCCTCCGCTTGCCGCCATGATGCCAGGTTAGTACGCGCCTCTCCCGGCGGGACGAAAGGAGGGAAGGGACGCGGGCCACGCCAAGTCTTGGCTGCAGGGGGCGCATCGGGAAGAGCCCGCGGCGGAAAGGAGGGAAAGCTCCGGCGCGGATCGGAGCGGAGCGCGCGCTGCGCCCCGCTCGGCGCCCGTGGCTTTGTCTGCTTGCAGGGGAGGCCGCTTCTTATTGTCAGACTCGAGAAGATAGTGGGGTTTATTCCCAGATATTACGTCTGCAACGGATTGCCTTCCACTGAGCGTTTGCATACTTGCACATAAGTGCCCACTGAGTTCCACAGCACCTACTCCCAGGCAGGTGGGAGCATTGCCTGCTTCCGTGCCTCTGTTACAAATATAGTCTTGTTGTTTACTTGGTATACGTTTGTTCACGCCTTCTATACGTTTTCTAATGCGTGTGTGCGCGCGCGAGAGAGAAAAACTTGCTTTTCATCCACTTTGAAAACTCTTGAGTTCTCTTAGGGTTCGTAGTAGATCATCGTCATCAAAACTGTAATGTAGGCGGCCAGTTTAAGTCCTCCAAGATGGAATTAATTATGTCTACTGAGGAAGTTTATTTGTGTGAGTCACTGGTAACTGAGTCAGCTTCGGTGTAGTACTTTACAACCTAACACTTCGTTGCAAATACTACTTGGGGAAACTAGTGAAATAGAAATAATAGTGTTATATGCATTGCAATAAAAATATTTATCCAAGAAGTAAAACGTGTCTTTTCCCCTTTTTTCTATCCTTGCTTACCATTTTTTTATACTTACCATCCCAACCCTGCATGAACTTCAACACGTAAGTGTATTTGAAGTACTTACGTGCCTAGAACTGAGAGCTGCAACCCGTCTCTCCAAGGCCATGCTTTCATTTTTATTAACCCTGGAGTGTTGTGTGTCTGCCTTAACTGCAGAACAGGAATTAGGTACTGTTCTAATCAGTGTTTCCTTTAGTGCTATTTTCACTATTTCTCTTTTCTCTCGGTGCCCCAGAATCTTTTCTCTATGCACAACTATAGATTTGCTTTAAACACTTTTACTCTACCTCTTTTTCTTTCTGTATATCATAGGACAAAGACTCCTTTCTTTTTTCACATCCAAATGTCCACATACCCATCTTCATTGAACCTATCTTCTTTCTCCTTTTTAGCATTTGCTTTCTCCTCTGTGCACCCCTATCTATTTATCCCTATTTTCCTTGCTTTGGGTCCATCTCTCTGCACGCCCGTCGCCCACTTTGTGCTCTCATCCTGCTCTGCTTCTGTTCTCTTGATGGCAACAGCAGACACGGCTTTCACTCTTGCAGCAGTTTACACATGGAGAGAGTCCAATGCAGGTGGACCATGCAGCATGGCTAGCTGACAGCAACAGCTTGGAAAAGCTGGTGCCAGCAATATCCGGGTGCCTGTAAATCCTGGAGGAGGAGAAATGTAAATGTAGGGCTGCAGGCATCTGCTCATTCTCAAATGCGTAAATATTCTCCTCCTCAGCATAGACCAGCATCAGTAAA